ACATCTGCTCCAGCAGAGGGTGCAATGCCAGTGCCAACATATTAGGAAAGTCAGCAGCTGCTTCCTGTGTCTGGGAAGGAGTCATTGGTTGATTATTTCCTGTGAGAGGCTTCTTTTCCTACACCATTCTTCTCCCTCTACCAGACATTGTTTACACAAGGAGAAAGTTTTTAAAGTTAAAATAAAAGTTCTCCAATTTGAAAACGCTTTGGACTATTTTGCACCTTTTGGTCTCGTTTGCTGTCTCTCACGGTCAGTTTCACTTCTTTCCTCCCAGTTTATTGTTCAGGAACCATTTAATTTTGTGTGGGGGGAATCCCCACCTCCTCCCCTGCCCACCGCTTATCTCATGAATTGCTGCCGTTCACCTTAAAGGCTCAGCCGCTTGTAGAGGGGATCGGTTAACTCACAGTTTTATCGCCTTTAAGTTATCGTAGGAGCTCATTTACGCTGGATCACTTATTTGCTTCCTCCAATAGCCAGTTCTAGTCACCATGACGGCTTCGTGGCAGCAAGACCTCTCGGAGTAAGGAGAGCCCCAATTCCTCAGCCATCGCCTCAGAAGGGGCTCTCCGCAGCACTCCAAGCCAGGAGTCCCCTACAAGGACTCTGGGGGGGGCGGACCCATCCGGGACCCCTCCTGTCCGCCATGCCTCGGCGCGTCCCCATCAGAGCTCGATGGGACATGTCGGACCTGTGAGTCGCCAAAACTGGAGGTCAACAGTTTATATTTTTAACTTATTCCTGTTCTACCAAATAGCAAGTACTACTTTAATATCGCTTATTTTAGCTGTTAGATTGCTATGGAGTTCGCATATCAAAACCAGTAGCCATTTAGAACAGATCTAAGCGGATCTAATAAAATAATTGCTAAATCATCAGCATAAGCTTGGATTTTATATTCCTGGCCTTTTATTTTAATTCCATAGATTCGGTTATCATTCCTTATAGCTTCACAGAGGCCTTCAATAGTAAAAATAAATAGAAGTGGCGAAAGAGGGCAACCCTGATGGGTGCCCTTACATATGTCTATATTGGAAGTTATGTCTGCATTTACCACAATTCTAGCATCTTGTTTCTTATAAATAGCCTCTATCATGTTGATAAAAGCTTCTCCACAATCAGTTATTTTAAAGTTTTGAATCATAAAGTCCCAGTTGATATTGTCGAACGCCTTTTCGGCACCTAGAAAGATTATAGCTAATTGTTTATCAAAATTTGCTTCACAATATTCTAAGGCATTCAGGATGATTCTCACATTTTGCCTCAATTGCCGTTTGGGTAAAAACCCAGCCTGGTCTTGATGTATCAGTTGAACAAGTACCCGTCTGTAGCCTCTGTGCAAGAATAGAGCTGTAGATCTTATAATCGACGTTAAGAAGTGAGATAGGGCAATAGTTTGGAATCTCATTTTCATCAGAACCCTTTTTGTGAATCAGCGAGATTAGAGCTGAATAAGGAATTAGAGCTCTCTCTAGTGGTATCTCTGTATTACACTTTATCCTTCACACAGAGTTTGTGAGCACATGTCAACATAGAGAATTACGCTTTGGACACTGAGCGGATTTTGATTAATTCTACTTATAAATTTTCCTTGAACTTTTCCCTTGTGATGGTTTTCTGTATGCCACTTTGATACTGGATGGGAATAACTATATTTTGTATTGAATATCTTATATGGAATATTGGAAATAATTACTACATTATAATAACACTTCTGAGTTATTCACTTTTTATTTTTGCCTTTATTGTAATAGTGCTGTATTTCACAGTGGTTGTTTTTACTGTTGAGGAGCAGGAAGAGGCATGTCTTCATTAATAAGGAAGGATGTTTTGAACACAGACAGCAATGATTTTTCATGGGATGTAGAAAGGGGGAGAGCGACAGCCACATTTTTAAGAAAGAAGGACTACACAGAGACAGCTGTCTTCTGCTTAGGACTGATACACTATCCCATCTTCACTGGCTATAAGCAACCAGAATGGTGCCAAGAACATACCTTGTTAGGGCAACATTCAATTAATTCTGCAACCAGAAGAGCAAAGAGAGCAAACCCCTTGATTCAGACACCAAAAAATAATTCAGAAGATCTAATATTCTTCTCAACCAAAGAAAAACGGAGTAATTAAGACCAGTCATCAAAACTCAGACCCTTCAGTTGCCACTTCAACCCGATGTGGATTTGGAAAACAAATTGCAGAAGAGATCATTAAAAGATGGTATGAAGCCTTGCAATGTAAGTGCATGCCGGTTGAATTTTTAATCTGCTGTATAGTGTGTGTTTAATACTGGAATTTGTTTCATTTTTGCTGTTCCTTTACATTGTAAACAACCTCATGAGTCACTAGTTGAGAGTTGTGATCGATCAAAATCTTATATATATGTTATCTATTATAAATAGAGTTTCTGCATTAAGGCAAATGAATGTTTTTGCTAATTAAAATTTAACTCCCCTGAATTCAACTACGTATTTAAATTATCTGGATTATGGTTTAAAAAAACTAAAAGTGTAAACATTCTGAACTTTAAAAGGAGGCATGATAACACATGGGGGGGAAACAGTTAAGATATAGGCAAATGCAACAAGCAGTTCAAGATATTATATTCCAGTTTTTCCTGTCTCTAGAACACCTCCCAAGGGTGTGCTGGAACTAGAAAGAGCTATTTCCTACAACATGCATGATGACAAAACCAAATCACCAAATAGCAGACACAGAGCTACTTTTTCAGTAGCATGATACACACGTGTAAGTTATGCATGTGCTATACCATTTACCAGAAATTTCCATATTCCAAAAAGATCCACAGATTAACATTCAGGATCTTGCTTTAAGATCTTACCACTGTAACTCGTGCAAGGATGATAGGCAATCCAAAGGCAGAAACCACAATTCCAGTTGTGACGAAATATGCTAGCTCCCTGCAGGCACTGCTTGCAGCATCTGTATCATCACTTAATCGTTTTGCAATGAGGTGAGGTATAGGACATATGGCATAAAATATCAAAACAAATAGAGGCCAATATACACTGTAGAAAAACAAATACAAGGATAAGAGAAAAAATAAGGAAGCTTAAAATAAACCTTATGGACAAGTTTCTTCCTCAGAAATCAAAGTAACTAAATTCTTGACCCCACATAAATGGGAGCAACATGCTATCATAGAAAGCAAATAGGGCCATATATTTTCAAGCCTTCTAGTCCTTCAAGATTCTGTCCCTTCAGCCCAACAGCATTTTCTCTTGCCTTTTCACCCTTTGTTTTCTGCACACTTGAAAATATTATCACTCTCTTGTGTACACATAATTCTTCTTTGATCCTCCTGTCATTTTACCATCTTGTTTCCTTTCTACCTGACAAAGCTAGTTCCCAGTCTCAGAACCCACCTCCTTAATTTTTCACCAAACTACTCTAGCTTCACTTTACAGCTCTTCCAAGCAAACAATACATCTTTCCCATTTCCCCTAGATCTAAATTCCCTTGGCTATTCTGTGGCTGCTATTTACACATCACCCTCATAGGGATATCAATTCAGGGATATCCAATCACCACATCTACCTCAAGCCTAGCATTTTACATTAGTGTTTAAATCAAACTAGATAACAAAGCACTAACACATACTTCAGATTAACATATTCTTACCCATAATTTTCTAGGGCACATGCCAACATAAGAAACGTCAGGCCAATGACTCCCGTGAATGATAAGCCAACCAGGGCTATAAAACCAGAAATAAAAGGTTTTATGTCAGAAGTCTGTTAAATAAATTTATTAAAGCCAAAACAATACATTCTGTACAATTTAAATTCACGAGTTATAAATTAACATAATCCAAGATTCAATTACTGCATGATGAGACTGCACATTATAGGAGGAGCACTTTCTTGTGATTTTCAACAATCATACTTTCTGGTTAGCTGCTTACATTATAAAGACACCCATCCATGCTCATTTTCAGTACTTTTAGTAAACAAAATATTTTATCTAAGGTTAATGTTGCAATCTGCACATAGTAGTAGGAATCAAACTGTGTTAAAATCCATAATTTCCTTAAGGCCTGCGGAATTTGATTAAAAGACCACCAACAAAAGCCCACTTTGGGATCACAGTGGCCTGCAAAGGAGGCCAAGAGCTCCTGTATTTTAACTGTTGTCTAGAAAAGGAAATTTCAGGAAGGGTCCCCACCTCACCCCATATAACCAGCTGCACCTACAGAATTCCCTGTTCTATTCTTCTAAAGAATGGTCATAGCAGGTTCATGCAGAAAATGTAACGTTAAAAATATTCAAAAATAGGTTTTGAACCCAAAAACACTGGTCAGAAGGCATAAAATGAGTGAAACACGAGTGAAACCAAACTCACTTTCCTATAAAAGGAGAAATAAGGCACACATGAGGAACCCAAACCCATCAGGAAAACATAATGGAGCTCCAGGCTAGTAGGCATGGGGAGGACACCCCAAAGACCGTTTATGCACTAAACTGTTTATCCTCCACCTTTCCTCTTAAGTCAAGGCGCCATTACAGCAAAGGGCAGTTCTAGCAACCACCATGCCTCACTTCAGAAGTAGAAAGAGACTCATAGAGGGCGGCCCCTGCCGCTGCGGTACGCTGAGGGGCAGGATGATTTACACGTAAAGGCGCTTTCGTCGGAGCTTCTCCTCCTCGAGTGCTTCAAATGAAACAGCCCCGCAAAAATGTAGAAGAAAACGAGAGTAGCAAAACTCAAGAGTGCAACATTTCTAACCGAGAGGTATTCAGCATCAAGATTCAATGCCAAATACTCAGGAAATGCGGGGACTGCGTGCGTGCGTGCGGGCTGCCGGGCGAGACGTCCGACATTAGCAAAGATCTGCCGAAGTAGGCTCATCTATACATTCTTGCTTGCTTCGAAGAAAACCCCACCGAATACAGTGAAAGTTACGTGTTAGCACAAGATGCCTAGGACTGCACTCTGAACCTAAGGAAGGTTGCCAGGGCAACACCAGGGGACGGAAGAGTGTGGCGGCGGAAGAAAAAAAGCTAGTACCTTTCACCCCCGCCATGTCACAGTCCCTTGTGGGGGGCTATTATCAAGTCTTCGGCTTTTGTCGACTGTATAAAGGCGCTCGCTCGCTTCTTCCGCTTTCCTGTCACGTGACGTTGTCGTGACACTCTCGGCCCTCCCCTCCCGCCACCTCAAGGACACGTGTTTTAAGAAGAGGCGTGTTCTGGGGGCAAGTTAAACGGACGTCCGCTGTCAGCTTAAACAGTAAGAATTTGTTCCAGTATCCGCTCCTCTGGATCGGAGCTCGCTTCCGGTGCATAAATTGTAGTTCTACAAGGCTTATATTTATACCTAAAGTTACATGCAACGGAAATGGAGGAGTGGGGAGATGTTACAGAGGCCAGTTAGAAACAATAAGCAATAAAGGGGGGGGGGGGGGGAGAGAGAGAGAGAGAGAGAGAGAGAGAGAGAGAGAGAGAGAGAGAGAGAGAGTGTGTGTGTGTGTGTGTGTGTGTATGGTAGGATAAACAGAACCAGATCTATCAAAAAAGATGCAGGGTGAGAAGTAATTAGCAGAAATAATTAACATTTCTAAAAGGGTAGGTCATGGATAGCTGTTGGCACCTACAGTGACTTATAAAACCCAAGTTCCTGTTCAAACCTGGTGGGAGTGAGCATTAATAAGCGTATATATATCAATGTGGCTGGAGTTCATATGTCACAAGTAAGCTAACATACTAATATCAGTCCTATCCAACTAAGATGTTCCACAATGGGACTCCCACCTCTTCCATATAGAGCTCCTGTTAACACCTTTATTAGTGTTTTAACCCTTATGAGATGTCTGCTACTTTTTTACTTTTGAAAGACACATAATTTGAATGGTATGTTTCAATTTTTTCTGATAATTTGCATATACATTGTTAAGGTAGGGTTGCCAAGTCCCCTGGAGGGCAGGGAAACCCCCGCTCGAGAGGCCCATTCCCGGCAGTCCAGATTGGTCTGCTGGGGGGAACCCTGCCCCCAAAGTTCCAGACGTGCCTGGCACAATGACGCCACCTGGAGGTGACATCATCACATCTGGCACATTGCGGGGGGATGCTCTATCATTCGAGGGAAAACTCTATGGTTTTCCCTCGAATGATTGTGGCCCCACTCCCAACATATGCGATGCAATGATGTCACTTCCCCCCACTAAAGCCAAGGTAAGACTTGGCAACCCTATGTTAAGGTGACACCGCAAAACAGCCTTCTCTTTTTAAGGAAGAGCTGTGCCAGATACCTGAATATTGGTCTAAGGGTTGTTTGCATACTGTGTGACTAGCAGCACTTTTAAATATTTGTGTCCTTGCTCATGTATACTGTTTTCATTATTATATTTCTGCAATTCACTCATGGAGACATCTGTTATGTGAATGTGCCTGGCCAAAAACAGCTGGCCACTAAAGTAGTTTACATAGTACAGTCCTAGGCAGAATTACTCCACTGAGCTTAGTGTCTGTATAGTATTGTGCTTTAATCTCTATTCTAAAAATCTAGCTCTTCCAAAGAAAATGGAGCCCTTGCTCATGTATACTGTTTTCATTATTATATTTCTGCAATTTACTCATGGGGACATCTGTTATGTGTGCTTGCATACAGAAAAAACACCTGGCCAAAAACAGCTGGCCACTAAAGTAGTTTACATTGTACAGTCCTAGGCAGAATTACTCCACTTAGCTTAGTGTCTGTATAGTATTGTGCTTTAATCTCTATTCTAAAAATCTAGCTCTTCCAAAGAAAATGGAGCCAGAAATTTGCTGTAAATCCATTATTGCTTAACTCCATTATATAATACTAGGAAAAAGACCCGTTGTGGAAATAAATACAACGGCCTCTAGAAAGAGCCTCTGGGCAGGTGCCCCGGCCTTGGACACTCAGTGTCAATTTGCTGTGGCGACCTCAGGTATAATGACACTGAGTCCACCATTTTCTCCAGAGGAACTGATCTCTGCTACCTTAAAGAACAGTTGTAATTTTGAGTGATCGCCAGCCCTCACCTGGAGATTGGCAACGATGGTTCCCCAGAAGGGAATGGTTGGTTTGGAAGTGGCGTCTGTGGCTTTGTACCTGTCCGAGGTCCCACGCCTCCTGAAACCTCACCCTCTCCAGGCTCCATCCCTCACATCTCCAGGAATTTCCCACCTGGAGTTGGCAATGCTATCTCCTTCCCAGCCAATCATCAACCTACCTTTATTTCCCCCTCACTCTTCAGCTTTCCACCCCCCCACACACCTGCAGCTTCTCCGTGCTCTGAAGTCCTGACTGCTACGTCACATTGGCTGTCATACAGGGGCCACCTCAGCAGCGTATAAGGATACAGAGCCCACCATTTTCTCCAGGGAAACTGATCTCTGTCGTCTGGAAAGCAGTCGTAATTCTGAGTGATCTCCAGCCCTCACCTGGAGATTGGACACATTTTACCTCAGAAGAGCAAACTGTTTAGAATGTTAGAGGCAAAAGCCAATCAAGTCGCATATGCAAACGACCTCTGTGTTCCGAGGCAAAGGCCAATGAGGCTGCATATGCAAATAACCTCTGTGTTCTGACTGGCGAGGTGAGACTCAAGCAATGTAACCAGTGGATAGGGACAGATTCTGAGTGACACACCAGGGCGCCAACCAATTCCAGAGCGTGTGGTATGTTCTAGAGAAGTGCCACCATCATTCGGCTTTTATATATAAGGGAGATGGGGCCTAAACTGGAAAAAAAAAAACCACGTTAAAAAGTGTACATATAATCACAAATGTGCAGAAACAGGTTCAGCACAATCTGATTTTCACAAGTAAGGGTGCATTCCTAAATACAAAGTCGTCTACTGATCTGGCTGGTAATTTACTGTAACCAAACAATGATAATATGTTTTGCTTCTTTGGTATTGCTTTACCTCTGTATAAATTTTTTTAAAAATGATTGAATTCTTTGAACTTTTTAATATGTACAAATATTTTAGACCAGTCACATTTCATTGAGAATACTGTATATTTACAAAAAAAATTACAACAGTTTTTAGTTAAACAGTAAACTTGACAAGTTCTGTAACTATCTGATATGACAACCCCCCATTTGTTTAACTTCCATACTTTTGACATACAGCAGGTCTGTTTCATGCACCATAAAAACACTGCAGTCAGAGGAGGTGTTGGAGTTGGGTAAGTTTTTATAACTTTTTTTACTGAACTAAATGAAGCTTAAATGATGTATTTTAATCAACAATTGAGTTATCCAGGGCCTTTCTTTTGAACAGTGATACAAAGTTAATGCCATTCTTGTAATTTCAAAAATGTATGCTACATGAATTAAATCCATTTGTACACTCATAAGCATAGTTCACACAGTATGTACAGATGTGAATAGAACAGAGGAAAACAAGTCACGGGAACATGAATCACATTCCAATTTTTTTAATAAGACAAGCACATACTTGATCAAAACATTTCATAATATGTTAATAAATAACATCCAGTTTTATAGCTGTTTGAACATCTTAATGCCTTGTATATATAAAAAAGAAGACTTGGTGTTTGTTTCATGTTGGCAGTAAATGGCAATAAATAAAGGATCAGTACAACAAAAAGATGGCATTTTATATAAAAATAAAGGTAGGCTGGTTTACATACTGTATCTGCAGAAATGGGTGCCACTTGAAAATGGTAACAGGAAAAAACAAATAGATTGTCCTTAAAACACCAAATTGACTAAGATCTTCACATCTGCTAGGGATTTCCCCCCTTAATGCATGTGGAAGTTTTTCGGCCTTTCTGCTATCTATCCAAAAAGCAGGTGCAGAGACCATATTTCCCCCTAGTAACTTTTGCAGCATACTGAGCAATAATGCCATGAAGAAATGGAATGTATAATGAGGTCCAGGATCTGATGGTGTCCAGTGCCATCTGACTCTATAAACACAGTGGACCTCTAGAAACTTCACAGTTCTGCATGGGTGTTGCTGCAAGGCAACAGTCGATCAACTGTCCTAAGGGGGCGGGGGGGGGGAATTGAGAGCAGCATAATATTTGACTACCCCATGCCTTGCAGAAGCCAGATTTCATTCAGGAAATACCAGTGCATAAAAGTGCTATTACAAGTTTTTATGCAAAAGGAGAAACATTTCAAAGTTTTACGTAAAAACTAGTTTTGCAGGAAGATATGACAACATTTTTGTTTTATCTTCACAGATACCACCATGTGACCATATGAACATTATTGCTTACTGGGCCAATATACTGTATGTAAATAGGAGTCACTGTTTGCTTACGTTACATCTGGCAAAACTGCATGAGCAATGTGGTAAGTTGCCAACAGAGGCTTAGAATACAAAGCTATGTCACCATCAGCTCATGATCAGCTACTCTCCAGAGCATCTGGGAATAGTTGACTGGATATGAGCAACAACACAATGAATAAAGAAAGGACAACTTAAACTCATAACGTCAATAGAAAATGCAAGGCTTCAACTTTTGGTTTTGATACAAGGGTTTAAGACATTCCTTTTTAATCATGCCTTGCAAAGGCTGTTTAAACTCATCCTCACTGTTCATAAATGCTCAGCTCAGCGCTTCCTTGACTTGGACATTATCTTCAATGTGTCACAGAATTATTAAATCATTTAAAGACACTTTCCCAAGACCTATGGTTATGTTTGTCTGAAACCTGAAATACAGTACTATGCTTAAGGCAGCAAGTTGCCAGACATGTAATCAGTTGCCTAACTGTCAGATTCAGAAATATAGTACAAGAAATAACTGAAATGCCAAATTAAGAGTAACAACATAAAGCATGTAAGTTTTGAGAAAGTCTGTCCGGAATCAGATTTTCAGGTTTGAGTCACACCTTTACTGATAAAAATTTCAGTTTCTTAACTGGGGAGGAAATCTGTTTCATCTCCTAGTTCCAAAACTAACAATCCAAGTTTTCTAGTATGCATTCTTACCTACCCTGTTTAAACCCGAAAGAACACTGTGAGATTCCTAGAATTCCCCTCTTTGCATTTGTAACTCATGGCATATGTAAGGAGCACCCTCTATATTTTTTCCTCTCTTCATGATGATGATTTTAGTATCAGGGCTAGTATTATTTTTTCCAAATTTCCAGCCAGATATTCAGTTCAGCTGTGAAAATCTTGTGGTAAGAAACTATACGAGCACTAGCACAGATCTACAGCAATGTCTGAGGAAGTCTGCTAATACAAGGGCTTTTGGCCTTGGTTTTCAAATTCTGACCAGGCATCATTGAGCTCCATAAAAATCATCTTTGCATATTGTTCATATGGCTGCCCTGTAGCCTAGAAGGAAACAGAGTAAGAAAACATCACATATCATATTAGAGGCTGTTCACATGAGCTAATCTTATTGCAATCTTGGGGAAGCAATGTCGATTTAAGGGAATGGATTTATAAAGAAGATGCCCTAATTGACAAATTTTTAAATCAAAATTTGCTCCATGGTACAAAACCATCAAAAAAGATCTTAGAGCGCATTATTTGACAGAAATTACAATTTATAAGCTCAGGGCAGCACTTTCATCATTACGTTTCCAGTCAATGACAACTGAGATGCTGCTCGGACGATTCCAGAAAAAAACTGTAGACCAGCTTATATGTATCCTCGATTGAGGACCTGCCACATTACGTTCTAAATTGTCCCATATACTCGGAACCAAGAGGAAAATTTCTCGCCAACATATTGTCTGGTCTCCACCTTCTTTCTGACTCTGATAAACTAATTTTTATGTTGTCAGATACAGATTCTTTTGTTTCCAACAGGATGGCACTTTTTGCTCTAGCTGCTAGAAAAATAAGAGCAAATGTAGCAATTAGGAAAATAACAACTGATACAGCTGCTGCTAGTTAGTTTTACGTATTTTATTGTTATATTTTAAGTAAACATAATTATAAATGCTTTTAGACACTGAACTGCAGACCGGAAGGTCGGTAGTTTGGCAGTTCGAGACCCGAGTGCCGCATGACGGAGTGAGCTCCTGTCTCTGGCCCCAGCTCCTGCCAACCTAGCAGTTCGAAAGCAAGAAATTGCAAGTAGATAAATAGGTACCGCTTCGGTGGGAAGGTAGCAGCGTTCTGTGCACCTCAATGTCTAGTCATGCTGGCCACATGACCACGGAAATGTCTTTGGACAGCGCTGGCTCTTTGGCTTGGAAACGGAGATGAGCACCGCATCCCTAGAGTCGGGTTCGACTGGCTTTCGAGCAAGGGAAACCTTTACCTTTATTATATTGCTATGTTTTAGTGAGGCTCTTTATTGTTATATCTGTAAGTGTATTTTATCTCTAACGACTCTCGATTGTAAAGGCCTATGGCCATATACAATAAATGTTCTACCTACCTACCTAGATGAGCTAATCAAGTTTGGATTTACTTGAATTTTTCTCGCCCAGGAAAGAGCAGACTGCACCAAAGATCTGAGTTGGCCTTGCAATCCATAAAAATTTACTAGTTGATGAAAACCTTTTCATACTTGCATCGCTACGTGGACTTGTTAACAGTGTGGCAGCAACTCAGTGGCAGCCCACTTGTTGCAAACTTCAGCTGGTGGTATGTATATATCAGAAGCACAAAACAATTAGCTATTTCTAAGTCTGTCATATGCAGTGTTCCCTCTAAGCTGAGTTAGTGTGAGCTAGCTCACAGTTTTTTAGCCTCTGGTTCACACATTGTTGTTTTAGCTCAGGAAGGATGGTTCCAGAACAAACTAATTTATGCAGTAGAATTGGTCGTAGAGGGAGCATTACTTATGTGCGTGTGATTTTTGTTGTGTTTATCCGGGGGAGGGGGCTAGATTTGTCCCTATGTTACAATGATGTAGGCTGTGGACATCCACCAGTAGTCTTCAGCCCATGGTCAGGATCCTCATGAGGGTCACAGAACCCACCTACTGTGTTGTTGCAAGCCGTACAAAGTAATGTTACTAGTAATGCTTTCATTTTAAAAAATTGCTATGAAATTCTTTATTACATTTGCATTACAGCCCTAGGATCAAAATCTTGGGGTCAAAAACGTCAAGTTCATCTTTCACATTTACTAATATTTATTGGAATTTTAACTGGGATAACTATTTTTTAAATATACAAGATGTGCTATTCTGGGACTTTTTGGTCAACCACCTCTGAGTCCTATGTTAGATGTCTCATACATAGAGTTTCCTTCTCTCCCTTCCCAATTTTGTGACCTGTAAGTTGCATTGTACCATAAGGATATAAATAAGGCTATACTAATATTCCCACACAAGATATTGTGGCTGTTTATTACATATTGTTTTTAAATAGTGAGGAGAAGTCATGTGGCTAGATCTAAAAGGAATCTATGGACTAATATAATTGTGAATTAAGTTATTTATCTGCAAATAAGGCTACTTACTTTGTCAGGATGAACAACAAGAACTGCTTTCCGGTAGACCTTCTTCACTTGCTCTGGAGTTACAAGATCTGCCATGCCAACTGGTTTCCATTTTGTTTCACCTTCCCATAGCACTGTGTGCATTGTGGACAACAAGGCTCTTATATTTCTCTCCTTTCCTTCAATCCATTCAAGGATCTGTGTATACATATACAATTCAGAACCAGACAATAGCTATATTAACTAGCAAATGCAAGTGTTGGAAAGGCTTATTGGATGCCTCTCAAGAACTTCTTCCGATATTAAAGGAAGAACAAATATAAACAACTATCTCCAAAAACAAATATATAACATTGCTTCTAGAGGTGGGATTCACACAAAAGATAATGAAGTCACTTCAGAAAGGATGTGGACAGAATGGAGCAGGTGCAGAAGAGAACAATGAGGCCCTACAAAGAAAGGCTGAGGGACTTGGGAATGTTCAGTCTGGAGAAGAGGTTAAGGGGGAACATGATTGCTTACTTTTAAGTATCTGAAAGGCTGTCACTTGGAGGAGGGCAGGGAGTAAGAATAGTTCAGCAGTGGAATCAGCCACCTAATGAGGTGGTGAGCTCCCCCGCTCTGGCAGTTTTCAATCAGCAACTGGACAAACGCTTGTCAAGGATGCTTAAGGCTGATCCTGCATTGAGCAGGGGGTTGGATTAGGTTACCCATATAGCCCCTTCCAACGCTATGATTCAATGATGCTATTTTGTTGGCATCCATAAAGATCTTGAAAAGTATGGAACAGAATAATGTAGTTGAATAACGTAGCCTGTGAAGTATAGTGTTTTAGTATATCAGTTACTTGTGCTCCCAGATTGTTTTCCAGACTCATATCACAATGCTGATTTTGACTTTTTAAAAATTTCAAACATACAGGGGATCCCCCTTTCCTGTTGTTTCATTCCCAAGTACCTGAAGGATTGGGTTGGGCCCAGACGAAATTTTCCATCAGCAGAATGTAACTTTCTTGTCTAACCCCCCCCCCCAGTACAGCCCACTGATATCCATGAAATGCTGTTCCTGAAGGATAGGGGACCCTGAGGAATGATATGAGAGGCTACCTTCAGCTGGAAGGGGCAATTTGCGGTAAGTCTGGATCCGCCCTGGACTGCTTCCTCCATTGTGAAACAGTCCAGGCCTTAAGATCATCAGGAAGAGCCCTGCTGCAGGAACCAGTTGTTCAGAGCTTCAGCTGGTGGGAACTCATGGGAGGCCCTTCTTGGCTGCTGATCCTAAATTATGTAATTTTCTCTCCAAGGAGGTGCATGTGTGCATTTCTCTGAAGACCTTCCAGAAACACATGGGAAACATGGCTATTCTGGAAGGCCGTTGATAGTATACAAGTGTTAAATCCCAGAAGAAATAAAAAATTAGATTCTGTTTTGTTATTGTGTTAAGTATGCTTCTTCATGGTTTGCAGAGACATGAGTGAAGCATTCACAGAGGTAAGATGAACTCCTGTTCATCTGACCCCCTTCCCCACCCTATCTCCATAGTGTGAAATATCTAAAGTTATTTCTCAAGCCAAAAATATAAAGTCCTCAATATATAGTTATCAGATTACAAACACACAGCTTACTTTTAACTTCTCAGGATCCATCTCCTTGGCCATTTCTTCCTTCCTCATTTCTGCTATTGTTCTTGGTCCCTTTCTGTCTTTGTGGGCATTAAAACCTTGACCAGATAAAAGGTCCTCAAAGTCAGAAGTTCCTTTCGGCTTTGAGTCTTAAAGATAATAAAAAGGCGTAAGCAAGTTACTTGGAAAGGTATAAACACCATATTATTTAAAAACCAACTGCCGGAATTTATTATTACATAATAAAAAGCATACAGCTGCCTAAAGTTAATGTTTATCCTAAGGACAGGAAAGTCTTTTATCCCAAATGCTGTAAAAATGCAACATCTGCCTGTGAAGATGTTGAGCAGGGAAGTGTTGTACTACATCTGACGCTGCACATGTTAGATATAGATCTGTCCTTTTAGCATGGGAGTAAAGGATAAAGTAAGCCTGTGTATGTATGAAACATTAGTGATTTTGTTTTCAGTGTACACACTGATTATAGTGGAAGAAAAATACCACCTGCATAATGGTTTGTCCTAAAAGATACTTTGTGAGCAAAGTCCTAGATGGGCATGTGAGCATTAATGGAAGAGTTTTCAGTCAAAATTTTGTTCTCAGAACCACCACACTCTAAATTCTGATTGTAAACAATTGCTGTTCTAGAGCACTGACCTCTTCTCAGAACCTTACTGGCTTCTAGTTTGCCATTCTGCTACCCAACCATGACTTGAAGTTACCTCAGTTCAACTACACCACTGCTTTTGGGATGCAGCAAAGGGAACTGCTGTGCCAAGCAAAAGAGTCTGCTGTTGTTCAGTATGTCTGTCAGAGGTTGCCTATCCATTCTTAACTGTACTCAAGAGTACAAGACTCGCTTCCCGACAAGCAAATTTCAGAAATGTGGGCTCATTTTGAGTTTGACCTTGTTCACCAGTTCAAGCTTGGCAGTATTATATTTAAAAATAATAGGAATGGAATGAACCGAATCTGGTTTGGTTTAGGGTTCGGGGCAGCCCCTGAACTGAGCCAAAAGGCCCCAAACTGAACTGCCGAGTTCAGTTCCCAAGCCATGGCCAGGAGAAGGGGGGGGAGGATCAATGTTCCCTCTAAGCTGCGGAGCCTTGTGAGCAAATATTCTACTTTGTGAGCTACTGGCATTAAAGTTGTGAGCAAGCAATTCGGCTACTGCGTAAATTAGTTTGCTCTGGAGCCATCCTTCCTGAGCGAAGAGAAAAAACTGAGCCGGAGGCTAAAAAACTGTGAGCCAGCTCACACTAACTCAGCTTAGAGGGAACACTGGGGAGGATAGCTCTGGAAGGGTTAAATGGCTGGCAGCCATTTCAGCAATCCGTTTCGCAAGCAAAACCCACTGGTGAAATGGCTGGCAGCCATTTAAACCTAACAGGTCAGCTGAGGACCTGCACCACTCAGCTGTTAGGTTTAAATGGTGCAAACAGCTGAACGGGACAATAGTCCAGTAAATGTTTGGAGAAGGCGCCCTTCCCAAACATCGATTCAGGGGCTCCAAACCAGCCCAAGTTTGTGCTGAATTTTGGCTCTTGAGCTAGTTTATGCCCATCCCTAGAAGACAACAAGAAAAAGCTGGTGTCCTATAATAATTCGCTTCTAAAAATGTGCTAAGTTGGACACACATAAGGCATGATGCAGAAGCCACTAGAGCTGTTTTGAAAGGTGTTGCTGCAAACCTTTTACAGTACAGCTAAACATCATAGGTCATAATAGCTGAGTGAAATGTATTCAGTTTCAAAATACACTTGGACTACTATTTAGAATGTTGGAAAATAAACTATTTAAAAAGACTCTTTTTCTTTCCTACACAAAGTGGTTTCCAGAAATACAGATAATATCATAAACATAAAAAACAAACAAATCCTTACTTTCACACACACAACAAGTTTTATTTAATTAAAAATTCAATTTACCAGAACTTCCTGTTCCCTTGCCACGATCATTTTGGCCACCAGGCATTGCAGAAAAACTCACATTGTAGTTAGGCCTATTTTGGGGAGAGGAATGCGGCATGCTTTGCTGGGGTTTGGATTGTGATTGTGGCCATGAATAACCTGAACCCTGTTGCCAGCTGCCACCTCCCATTGGCTGAGGTGATGGCTTCTGTGGTGAACCCATAGGAGGAAAACCTCCTCCTATTCCTGTTGGTGTGCTGGGTTTGCTGGCAAAGGAAGGACAACCTAAAACAAATAAAATAGGAAATGAGATACTAGATATTGTACTTGGGGTATATAACAGTTTTATCTTTAGTCTTCCATTAATTTCATTTACAATTGTTGGGGGGAATCTTAAAAGTTTTATATAGGGGGCTGGATCCAAACTATGATGATAGTCCCATCAGTGGCATACAACTTTCCTGCCTACCCTCTTCCCATAGTGGGCCATGATCCCCAGGATTTGGCAGAAATTACATCACCGTTTCTGTTAGTGGAAAATTTAGTCTGGATATAACCCAGGGTATCTAAACAATGTTCTGGTGTTCAGAGGTCATGGTTTATGCAAGCACTTCCACACATACAGGGGGTTCCCCCTTTCCTGTGGTTTCAGAACACCAAGTAAGCTTCTGGAGTGGCATCCAAGGTGAAGAGAGCAGCTAAATATCACAAATCAGTAAGTCAGCTGGTTTCGAAACGGAGGCGGTCATATATGATAGTGTGCTGTAATGCACTGCCCACAGCTCAGATGAAGGGTCATTTCCTTAGGAGGCCTCCAGAGCAGCGCGCTTGCATCTGTCCCCTGGTGGTCAACTCATTATCACATGTCTTTTTCTACTGTCCAAAATATGCCACAGCCAGGGAGAAATTCCTTATAAACTGGCTTTTGAAGTGTTTGAACTTTTCAGATGTTCATAAATTAAGATTATTTTTAAGTATTTACAGCAAAACTTGCACAATTGATGTAGCTAAATTCAGCTTTATTATTATTTTCAATTCCTACATGATCCTTAATGTAAAGCCTATGACCATTAAGCCTGAATAAAGTGTTACTTCTAAGTAAGAAGTCAGTGTGTACCAATGTTCCCTCTAAGCTGAGTTAGTGTGAGGCAGCTCACAGTTTTTTAGCCTCCGGCTCACACATTTTTGTCTTAGCTCAGGAAGGAGGGCACGAGAGCAAACTAAACTGTGCAGGAGCCAAATCGCTGGCTCACAACTTTAACGCCAGTTGCTCACAAAGCAGAATTTTTGCTCACAAGACTTTACAGCTTAGAGGGAGCATTGGTGTGTACATGTCAAAGTGTCTTCCATCTGGGTCCTGATCTATTTGAATAAACAGATCCAGACTGACTGAATGCTTACATTCTGATTCTTCAAGCTCTTTAGTCTATGGCCTTTTTAAAAGAAAAAAATAGTTAACAAAAAGTAGTATTTGATTACCTACACACACCATTGTCATTAAGCTAGGGAAACACAGAAAAGGTTAGTTTGTACTAAACTCTTGTACCAGGATATGGCAAATACTAATTTTCTAGAGTTATGTGGACTGGATAAATCTCTGCATTCTCTAAGTACAAATAAAAGACACTGATGCAGCATTCCTTACACTCAGAAGCATCCTATCATAAGGTAGGCCTCCTGATCATGTGTTGTGGGAGAAGAAGGGCCTGGATTCAGTCTCCCAACATCAAACAGGCGACCAGCTCATTTAGGAAAAAGACAGCAGTTAAATTTATGCTCAGGAATGTACAAAGTTTTGGATGAGAGGAATGTAACTGCACGTGCAGGTTGCCCTTTCCAGGTTATAATAAATAGGGTTTATGGAACAAAAATCCTTAGCACACACACACAAAGGTGAGGCAAAAAAAGTGGGGAACAGTGAATCCAGGAGCTTCTTTGTATATCCTGAAATATGTATAGTGTAACACTGCCAATCCTAAGCAGAGCTGCATCTTTGTAAATCCACTGACTCCAGTGGACTTAATGGGTGCAACTCTGTTTAGGATTGCTCTGCTAATCTTGAACAAAATAGAACAATTACCGTGTCAGAACTAGCAATGAATCCAATTACTTATTTATCAAATGGTTGTGTGTGTGTGTTTAATGAATAAACAGTGATCCATGCGACGGTCACCTCAAGCTTAGACTACTGTAACGCTCTCTACATGGGGCTGCCTTTGTCACAAATTCGGAGGCTGCAGCTAGTGCAGAATGCTGCAGCCAGGCTGTTGATGGGTCTCCCTAGACGGGATCACATCCAGCCTGTGCTGAAAGCGCTGCACTGGCTGCCAGTGGCGTACCAGATTCACTTCAAAGTGCTGGTTCTTACCTTTAAAGCCCTATATGGCCAGGGTCCGGCCTACCTAAGGGACCGCCTTTCCCTGCACGTTCCCCCAAGGGCACTACGGTCGGGGACCCAAAATCTCCTGGATATTCCAGGCCCCAGGAACATCAAACTCGCTGCGACCAGGGCCAGGGCATTTTCGGTGACGGCTCCTACCTGGTGGAATGAGCTCCCAGAAGAGATCCGGGCCCTTTGGGACCTTGGGCAGTTCCGCAGGGCCTGTAAAACGGAGCTCTTCCGCCAGGCTTTCGAGTAGGAGCCGCCACCACCATTATTCCATCAACGCTTTTTCCATCACCGCACCCTCACCACCGCTGGTGCGGGTATCATCGGGGGTGCGAGACGTACCTGGCGGATGACAGGGTTGTGGGGACATATGCAGTCATTGTATTGTTATAACATCTGTAGAACACCATCTTGATCTTATGAATGGAGTGAGTAGTAGAGCACCGATATTTTATTAATTGTATTATGTTGTAAATTGTATTGTATTTTTATACTGTTCTTATTGTTTTTATCAGGCATTTTATGCCCTTGTTAGCCGCCCTGAGCCTCCGGGGAGGGCGGGATACAAATCTAAAGAATAAATAAAATAAATAAATAAATCTTGGTGTTTAAATTACAATAATAACAATATATCCTAATTATAACCAATAATAGAAGTAAGTCCATCTTGAAAAAATACAAATACAATGTCCTGCATTTAATCATATTATTATACAGAGGAGGACATGAAACAATGTTAAATAGTCCTTAGTACTCCAAACTTGTTCAAAGAGGCCTCCTTAAATGAATCAAGTCACTGCGGGGGGATGTCTGTTGATCTTCAAGCTTTCAAAGCATCAGCAAAACCAATTCTCTTAGGTGAACTACAGGTCTCCAAGAAATAGATTACAGTTTCACAGGTGTAAACAATGAACATGAAAAAAATCTTTCTTAAAGGGGCCCACATAACAACATGTTCATTGTTTACACTTGTGAAATTGTAATAATTTACTTGGAGATCTGTGGTTTGCCTAAGAGATTTGGATTCATTGCTAGTTCTGACATAGTCATTGTTTTATTCTGTTATATTGTTATTTGCCGTGATCCCAGTTTGTTTACTGCAAATCTTGAAGACATGAGCTAAAGAAGCCATCCAATGTTTATTAGCTTTGTTTTCAATAAGACCATACTTCTCTTTGGTATTGTCTACTTTGTTGCTCAACTGTTTTTATCAAAGAATCCACGTTGATCATATACCATTATTCAACTTGGAAGCCTTATCAACATACCATCACCAAACACATAACTACAATATGAAATTTATATTATTAAATATCGCCCAGGTTGTTTTTGTAGTGTATTGGCCTCTCTGGCTTGTCATACATGGTGGTCTTAGAGCTCAGCCCTTAATTAGGCTGATTAAGTTCCACGCCTTGTTGTTCAGTTTTGCTTTTTTCTTGCCGCGAGTTGCAAGAAACTGGAACTATAACATAATTGTCGTTTTTATCTTCTTGGAGCAGTCTCTCTTTTCAGAGAACTTATTCAGTTTTGCCATTTAAATTTCACTGTACTCTGGAAAGCTGGTTAAGACTTTGCATATTCTAATTCTTTTCCTTCAGTCATGCAAGACTTTCTCTATATTACAGAATAGATAGAGAAATAACCAGAAATAGTGTGATGTGTCATGAGACACACTTTTTTTGTTTTTATCCTGCAGAGCAGCAGCAAGCCAGCAGAGGGAAGCCGGATACCTGATTCTAGAACCGATGTGACATTTAAGCAGATGAAGCAGTAAACAGCAGGGGGAAAATTCAAGCTGTTACAGACATAGTACAAATTAGGAGCCAAGGAAGCCGAAAAGTGGGGGAAGTACTCACTATGCTAACTAAAGTAGCCTTTTGGATATGAACCACATTGTTTGTCTTCAAAACTTTACAGCATTATGCATTATGAAATTGTCCTCTGAGTCTCTGCCAGTCACCGCCTTTTCCTGCTTTCCAGCTTCCTCTCAAGGTGCTTCTGCTCCTACCAACTTCTCCATTGCAGGTCTTCCCACCACCCCTTCATAGTTCTCTGGTGCGTTGCAGCTGATGTTCTGGGCTGTGATGATGATGATGATGATGATGATGCTTCCTAGGATGACTCCCGCCCCTGTGATGTTAAAGGGCGTCACTGGTCCCTGCCACACATAGTGCTGCACAGCGAGGGTCAGTACCACTTCGGAGTGCAAGACAGCACACACCAGGGCTGGGTGGGCTTCCATTGCCACATTGCTGGTGCACAGGAAAGACAGCAAGGTGAGCATGCTGATTGCGATCACATAAGCCCATGTCAGCAAATCCACAGCCATGACCAGTTCTTGTAAGAGGATCAGGGCTGGGAGGTACATCAGACTTCCCACCATGCCAAAGAGGAAGGCTATGGACCCCATCTCGTCTGGGAAGTCCAGGCTTTGGAAAATAATCAGGCCCAAGGTCAGCAACACCCCTCCCATGTACACCAAGATGTAACCAACAGCATTGTGGAGTTGGGTGCTCTGGTTCAGATTCAGCAAGTCTGGGACCACCATTTGGCTCAATTCCACAGGACCTGTAAAAGGGAACTGTATCGCCAAGCCTATGGCGATACAGGAGATTAAAATTATTTATTTTAATTGTACTCTAAATTGTTTATTATATGTTTTATTTTATTTTTATTTTTTATTTTAACATTCAACTTTATATCCCGCTCGAACCCCCTTGTCAGGGGGGTCTCTGAGCGGCTTACAATTCGGTGCTAGTCACCATTTTACTTTCCTGACTAAGGCCACATATTTGTATGGGGTGGGGAGACCTACCGGCACCCCTATGGTGGTGGTTGGTAGTTGGTGGTGTTCTCCTCTTCTTCCTGTCGGCTCAGGCGGTTTCTCAGGCGGGACGCTCTCCTCGGCGCCTGGCAGCAACCTCCCTCTCTCGAGGCGCGCGACTTCCCGCCTCCTTCCGGTTTCAGCTGCGTCCTTTTCCGTCTCCGCTGTACCGGCGCTTGGCGTCATCGCGGCCCTCTCCCGACGGCGGTTACTCGATGTTCCGTCCTCTAGCCACCAGGGATCGCTCCTCTGGTTGCGCCCGCTCGCCGCCGCCACCTCCACGCCATCCAAGCCGGAGCTGATGTCTCGCTGCCGCCGCTGCCATCGCCGTCGCCATCTGTCTTCAACCACCACACAGGCAGGGTGCCCCCCACCCTACTAAGGGTGGGTACCCATTTATCTACTTGCAATTAAGTTGCTTTCGAACCGCTGGGTGGTAATCTGCTCTGAGCCGCACAATCGTGGGGGAGAGCGGAATGGAAATCGAAAGAATAAATAAATAAATAATCTATTTACAAAAAGGGATGAGGTAAATACTAGAGAAAAATATATTCCCAGGCTAATGGGGTTCTTAACAATCTAGGTATGTAAGTATTTATGTGCTGTCAAGTCACGACTGACTATTTGCAATCCCAGCAAGGGGTTTTCAAAGCAAGTGGAAACCAGAGATGGTTTGCCATTCTATCTGTTTAAAGAGTCTTCCTTGGTGGTCTCTTGCTACAACTGGCCTTCTTCCTAGTCTGATATAAGACTATTTTCACACATGAAGTATGAACAGCTCCACTGTGGACCTCCTGATAGCACCTGGTATTTTTGGCCACTGTGTGACAGTGTTGGACTGGATGGGCAATTGGCCTGATCAAACATTGGCTTCTCTTATGTTCTTATGTTCAAAATATATTTTAAAATCTGCACTGACCTGTATACATAAATTAAAAGGAAGACTAGCTCCTTCTACATTAATATGCACACCTGCTCAGGAAAAAAAAAGGCTCTAAGGTGCCTTTATGTTTTTATGGTTTAGGTTCCCAACAGGCCTGGAGAAAAAATGATCTGTCCCTTTCATAGAGTTTTAATGGAGTGTATTTACCAAGTGATGCTATTAGTTGCTGTAGATTTTCCGGATTGTGTGGCTGTGGTCTTGGCATTGTAGAACCTGACATTTCGCCAGTAACTGTGAAGTAACTATGAAGCCTTCAACAACATATTGATGCTATTAATTCCATGCCACACAAAAAAAAGACTGAGCAGCTCACTTCCATTGGGGAGAGAACATTTAAAGGAACAGGACCTTTTTCTACAGGCCCACTGGCAACCCTATTCATAGTTGAATAATGCTCTAGGTTATTGACTATTACTCAAATGAAAATTAGTGCCTTTCTTCAGATCTAGAGCCAGATTCTGCCTCTGGGCAGTCCTTTTAGTAGTAACTGTAAGATTCACAACAGAGAGAAAAAGGGCCCTGAAGAAAAGAGAAAAGGAAATAACTTGTTTCTTCAAGGAATTAATTGATAGTAGAACAATATTTTGTAAACAAGTAATATCTGGTCCATTTCACAAGACACATGTGGAGATATGCCTTTTGGGAGCTTTGAACTGAACAAAACCTTCACCTTTACTTTTAAAAAAGTTTTCTCATTCTTGGCAGAGAACAGGCAGGGGAAAGGAAGTCCATTCAATTGCTCTCCAGCTTTATCTCAGCCACCCTTTAGAAATGCTAATAGCTTTCTGGTGGGAGACAATGGGATGGTCAAACCCTAATCCAATTACAGCTAGAAAGCTATCAAAGTAACATCTAGCAGACAGTAGAGTTTTAGAGAGTGAAGATCCTAGAGAAGTCTTTTCCTGGAGATTTCAGGGAAAGCTTCTTTTACCTGCCCAGGGGGAGGGAAAACTGAGATGATAAAACTCCTTGGCACAGAGAGAAGGTTTTCTTTTGTTCTGATTCCATTGAGGTAGATGGAGCTCTCACCTGGGGCCAGCTGAAGGGAGCCATTGCCATGCAGAAGACTGCAGGCCTGCGCAAAGGCTCCAGGGTAATAGAAACCTTTCAGAACCACTGTAACTCTTATGTTAAAGAGCCTGTCTTAGAATAACATGAGCCAGGGCAGAGTGTAGGTTTGCCAAGTCCCCCGGGAGGCGGGGAAACCTCTGCCACACAGGCCCGTTCCCCGCCACCGGCGGCTCGGGCCCCGGGGGGAACCCCACCCCCAAAGCACGCAACATGCATGCCACCCAGAAGTGATGCGACCACGCCTGGCACACTGGGGGCGGGGCCACGGTCATTCGAGGGAAAACTATGGTTTTCCCTTGGATGGTCGTGGCCCTGCTCCCAGCGTGGTTGCGTCACTTCTGGGTGATGTGGTTGTGGCACGCGCGGGGGATAGAGGAACTGTATGTCTACACTGTTCTTTTGGATCCCTTGCTCAATCTGTTGCATGTGAACATTTTCTTACAACTTTTAATGCTGGTAGCTGTTCTCTGTATCACATAGACCACCATTTCAGACATGCTATTTTAAACCGAACACCAGGAGAAGGGGAGCAGTCAATTGCTCTTCCCCAGTGGTGCACAAGTGCAGTGAGCTGCCCCCATGGTGACCAGATGCTGCGTTGTGGGAAACACAGACATGAGGCGAGGCCTAAGAATGGTAGTGCAGGAAAGGGAAGCTGGGAGCCCTGGCTCTCAGTGGGTAATTCCTATAAAGGTCAGGTGGTGGCAGTGGTTGAACAAAAAGAGGAATAGAAACACCCCTCCAAGGGTTGGGGAAGCCAAGTTAGTAGCATGTGCCAGGCAGAGACTTTGGGCAGCTTTTTGTTGTTCAGTCGCACAGTCGAGTCCATCTCTTCACGACCCCATGGACCAGATCACGCCAGGCCTTCCTGTCTTCCATCGTCCTCTGAAGTTGGCTCAACTTCATGTTCGTTGCATCTATGACACTGTCTAACCATCTTATCCTTTGCCGTCCCTGTCTTCTTTGACCTTCAATCTTTCCCAGCATCAGGGTCTTCTCCAGGGAGTGCTCCCTTCTCATTTGGTGGCCAAAGTATTTGAGCTTCAGTTTCATTATCTGGCCTTCCAGGGAACAGTCAGGGTTGATTTCTTTTAGGATTGACTGATTTGATCTTCTTGCAGTCCAAGGGACTCTCAAGAGTCTTCTCCAGCACCATAGTTCAAAAGAATCTATTCTTCGGCACTCGGCCTTCCTTATAGTCCAACTCTCGCAGCCATACATGACTACTGAAAGACTATTGAAAGAGGTAGTCAATCTTTAAAGGTACAATTGTGGTCTTAGGGTACTGTCTCAGTGATGATCTGGTTCTTATAGATCCACATGGGTCAATGCAGGGGTAATTCATGAGGACAACCAGATGGATTTCACCTAGAGAACTGGTGTTGAGTAGTGATGGGCATGAACTGGGAAAATGTGGTACTTTTACCCTGAGCAAGAGGCTCTTTAGGTCCTCTTCACTTTCTGCCATTGGAGTGGTATCATCTGCATATCTGAGGTTGTTGATCTTTTCCCCAGCAATCTTAATTCCCGCTTATGATTCATTCATGCCAGCATTTCGCATGATGTACTCTGCATATATATTAAATAAGCAAGGTGACAATATACATCCTTGTCGTACTCCTTTTCCTATGCGAAACTAATCAGTTGTTCCATATCCGCTTCTAACTGTTGCTTCTTGACCCTTATACAGGTTTCCCAAGAGACATGTGAGGTGGTCTGGTACTCCCATCTCTTTAAGGACCTGCCATAGTTTGTTGTGATCCACACAGTCAGAGGCTTTAGCATAGTCAATGAAGCAGAAGTAGATGTTTTTCTGGTACTCTCTTGCTTTCTCCATAATCCAGCAAATGTTGGCAATTTGATCTCTAGTTCCTCTACCTCTTTGAAACCCAGCTTGTACTTCTGGCAGTTCTCTATCCACGTACTGTTGAAGCCTAGCTTGTAGGACAGCTACTGGTACCCAGATACCTCAGAGGGCAAGAAGAAGCAGAGTCTGCAGGTTTTACACAGAGGAACAAGGAGTTTAAAATTTTGCTTCCTCTAAAAATTA